AGTTTATGGGCACACTGAGTAAATTAAGAATTACTGTCTGACGAATTGATATCGCCTAATTAAAAATGTAGTCCTTACAACTGCAATCCTTAAAATAGCTTTAAACTGATTGTGTATATTTAAAAAATATATATATACGCTGCTTTTGCGAGCAGATTATATAATGTAGGCTACATGTAGTGTGTTATTAACCAACTCTGCTCTGAGGACTAATAGCTTTCAGGGTTTCAGTTTGTCAAATTAAAAATCCTACAGAAGCTCTATTAAAGCCCATTAATGGGTTTGTTAAAGCACTGTTAAAGCATGCTGTGAGCACATCGCATAGACACAGAAATGCTGCTACACTCTTCATGTTTCCAAGGCTATACATTCAGTACCATCTCGCAACTTATAGGCCCCATATGTGCCTTCAGACTTAGAAAAAAGAACATCTTACACAGGGCCACTATACGCTGAAAAAGGTTTTCATTAAAAAGGCTTACAGATGAATCGTGAAATCATCCTTCAAAAGCCCCATTTTTTGTTTTCATTTTTATTAATTCCTTGTGACTTATTAACTGATGTGTAAGTTTTATTCAGTACACATGTATTTTTCTTTTCAATACATGTGCAGTTTACAGGATTGCACATGCAATTATGAATATTCATTAGCCATGTCTCTGATAGGCTAGCAAATCTCAGAGTGGGGAGAGAAAGTCCCGCCCCCCCAGACACAACAACCAAACTGAATGAAGCGTCCCGTCTCTCAGAGGAGTCCCTGCCCAGAGAACTGTTACTGCTGACCGTGTTTCACAAGTTAAACTTACTTCCCACTCAGTAGATTATGAAGATTAACATTATAAAAATAGATTTAATTGAAATGAATTCAAGCCTGGGGTTAACGTGAATCTTCAATCAATCGATCAATTTGAGGGTGACCCTCATTTAGAGTGTAGCCGAGCAAATTACAAAGGATTGGAAAAGTTGAAATGAAATGTACCAACTTAAATAAATGAAAATCAAGACAAAAGTATTTATTATAAAAAATAAATAAATAAAATTAAAGAAAAAATAATTGAAAACAGGCATAAAATATCAATACAACGTAATGAAAACATATTAAAATTTTAAATAACCGACTTAGCAACAAGAAAACGATCTAATCTATTTATTTACTAGAATAGAACAGTAAAAGGATTAACATCAAATAAATCTGTTGCGATAAAATATTAAAATAAAAAAATTAATAATGATTAATAATTTATAATAATTTATTTATTTTAATATTTTATTGCAACTGTTTTATTCTCAAATGCATAAATGAATCAGGCTTTACGAAGCTTCTATGCTAGCATCATGTGTCATGTTTTTCCTGCTCTGATGCGCCTGGTTCAGCTCAGGACAAGCTACAGGTTATGATTCAGTAGTGTTCGACTGGAGGAACACAGGACTGGAGGCCTTCAGGACTCTATACCAATCCAAAACAGGGTGCATATGCAGCTATACCATTAAATAAGGATGTGTATCTCAGTCAAATTTGATAACTGATTTAAAAATCAAATAAAAAATGTAATGAATGCACAGGACTCTAAAAAGCTGTAGGCTACTATACACTGGACACCTCCAGAGACAGTGAACATGCCACTCAGCATCTTTTCTATTACTTTCCTATGCATCCTATACCAATCAAAAGTCTTGCCGCACCACTCAAATTCCATGTTTTGTTGCTTTTCTAAAAGAAAACACACTTCTACACATTTTAATGCACACATACTACGTCATATTTAACACTGTGATAAACTGAGATAGAGATTGAGCACTAAAATGTGCAGGAAAATGTTATATTTAAGTGTGTTTTCTGTAGATGAGGTGTTAACTTTTTAAATTATAAAATCAACAAAACATCTAATTGGACTAGTCAAACTTTTGCATGCGACCATATGAAACTTAAAGACCTGTGACTTAAAATTTACACCGAGAAAGTGGTCAATCTAAAGTCTTCAAAATAAACAGACAAATGCTAAACATCTTTTCACCTTAGCTAACGTCACTAGCCTAGTTATATTTCACCTCATACTCTTTAGCTGGAATACAGTGAGTTTGTGAAGAGTCCCAGATGATACCAAACGTGACAGAAGTCTTTTTTTCCCCTATTAACTCTATACAAGTACAGCTATCTGCAGTGCTTCCTATGTGCTATAGCTGCACACTGTACTGCTACCCTGCACCAGAGAGCCTTTGACAGAACAGCAGTGCTTCTCATCCTGTGTGTGGTAGTCTTCAGACGGCTGCAGTAGTCTTTCTAAGTTCCCTTCAATGGAATAAACATATATAAAACTCTGGCCAAAATGAATGATGCTAGATCCATAGCCCTCTAGTGCAGTACAGACTTCAGACTTCGCATTGGGCCTCATTCTCCAACCGTTCTTAAGAAGAAATTCTGGTAACACTTTCTATGAATGTCACACACATTCATAACATGTTATAATGCATTCATAAGACATTATAAACAGAGCTATAAATATTTATAAAAATGCATTATACGTTATAGCCATGTTTATTATGCATTATGAATGGTTAACATAATACATTATAAGTACTGATCATAACAAGTTATAAGAGCTCATAAGTTGTATTTATCTGCTCTAAGTAAAGTGAAGTGTACTGTACTAAAGCCTCCTCCAGTGTTAAGAGTGAGGCTTCAAGTTGAAGTATTTACTGAAGGATTGACTGAACCACTAAAACATACTGGTAACACGTTCTATGAATGTCACCTTTGTAAGCATCTATAAACACATTTATAGCATGTTATAATGTATTCATAAGGCATTATAAACATTGTTATAAATATTTATAAAAAAGAATTACTCTGAATTACACTTTATAGTTTATTATACATTATGAATTGTTAATATAATGCATTATAAATAGTGTTAATAACATGTTATAATGTCAGCGCCAAAGAAGTCAGTCCCAGCTTGGAGACTGTAAAGTAAAGACAAATACCAAGCTAACGGTGGTGTACATTACCTTTCCCACATTGGGTAAAACACTGATGGCAGCTCTAGTTTAAACTCTGACATTTGAAGCCTGTAATGTGCTTTACTGTGTATGTTTCAGTGTTTCAGTAAATCCTTCAGTAAATACTTCAACTTGAAGCCTCACTCTGAACACTGGAGGAGGCTTTAGTACAGTACGCTTCACTTTACTTAGAGCGGACAAATACGACTTATGAGTTCTTATAACTTGATGATCAGTACTTATAATGTATTATGTTAACAATTCATAATGCATAATAAAATGGCTATAATGTATAATTCCTTTTTTATAAATATTTATAGCTATGTTTATAATGTCTTATGAATGCATTATAACATGTTATGAATGTGTTTATAGATGCTTACATTGGTGACATTCATAGAAAGTGTTACCAACATACTTAATAAAGCACATTACAGGCTTCAAATGTATAATGCGTTATATTAACAATTCATAATGTATACTAAACAGGGCTATAAAGTGTAATTCAGTGTAATTCTTTTTTATAAATATTTATAACCACGTTTATAATGCCTTATGAATACATTATAACATGTTATAAATGTGTTTATAGATGCTTACAAATGCGACATTCATAGAAAGTGTTACCGAAATTTCTTCTTAAAACCCACTTACGCAGTTTTTACGAAGATTCTGACATTCACCAGTGTTTTCTTATCTGGGATTTGTTCTTAGGTAAGAAAGTGATTTTGTTAAGTAAGATTAGCAGATCATTTTGCTTGTTTTAAGAACTGTGCTTGAAACCAATCTGCACTATAGTGAGACCATTTTACTTTACTAAAATTACTTTAAACAAATAAAAATGTGTAGAAATAAGCTAAAAGATCTTATAACAAGTGCAGAAACATCTCAAAACAGAAAATATTAGACATATCAACTAGATTAAGATCTTTTCACTTGACCAGATACCATTTTTTGCAGTGTACCTTTGAGCTAATTTGCTTGTCAAAAAAACAGAAATCACTATTCAGTTTTTTAAACCTTATTGACTATTCAAGTATTTAAAAATCTGACCCATTCCTACCATTAAATAGTCCCAGACGTCAGAGAGTTTGGCTAAAGTGCTCGAATCTAATAGCTTGGTTTGCTATCACTAGTTTACTATTTCAGTTATAGCTGATACAAAAGGCTATATTTAGCCAACAAGCAGGTTACACTCTAAAGAGCAGTTCACTGGTGAACGCTGCACTGTGTTAGGATGTTTTCAGTGTAGTTTACTGGAAAATGTGCTAAGCAAAGATAGGCCCCCTTTGCTATCACTGAGTTGGAATATTGCCATTTATGTAGAGTGCTGTCCTTTGGTAGTTGGTGAAAGAGCTGTTTGTTGACTGACAGCCAGAAAAGCACATTTAACACAGCCAGTCTTATCTTTCTCATCTTTGTATCTATGCTAGCAAAGCATGGTGGTAGTCTGTGGGGGTCTTGTACATCCATTTAAGGTGGGCATGTGTAAATAACTGCTTAGGAAAGATAAATCTAATGAAACCCAGGATCTACATCATCTGACAGGTCATGATTTTGCACCAATAGCATATTTGAAGTATAGAAAGAACAGAGAAAATACATTCTCACCTCTTTATTTCAGAATATTATTTCTTTCAATCCCTTAAAATCCTATGTTATTATTATTATTATTATTTATTATTCATCTTATTATTTATTATTACTTATTATTCAGTAACTACTTACATTGCAGTGCAAACAAGCTGAGTTATTAGGTTATAGTCATTACAAGCATTTCAAGGGTTACAGTTGCCCTACAACTACAGTTGCTCATCAGCACCACCTGCTGGACCAAACCTCTGTTGGGCAGCTTTACCAATGAAGGGTTCACTGCAGGGATAACCTCCCATGATGTCCAAATACTGGCTTGGTAAAGGAACATAAATAGACATATACATGCACTTTGATACAGCAAAATTTAACAAAACATTGTGAAAGCAACTCTGGGAGCACTATACCTCCAAAATGGGGCGGTGGACCACACAGCAGCACCACAGCCTGACCCTCTCTCACCGACACTGGACCTCTGGCCTTACTGCTGAAATTCTGCAAATCTGAAAACAGCACAAAAAGCACATTGGCCATTACTTATCATTACGCTGGTCCCATCTCACTGATGGGTAATAGACCAGAGGACAGACACCTTTAGAAACACCACTCAGAGCACAGACAGACTCGACAGGCATCACTCGGCCAATTTAAACGAGGAAAAAATACTGATTTTAACCAAGAATCTATTAGAATGAATGAACAGTAATGCACTTACTTTGTCAGCCCCTGGATTAACACCGACTCTACTCACTGTAAACCGCAGTGATCTGATAATTAATTCACAACAAAAAACTGCACATTTTAAAGGGAGTGCTAAATTATCCAGGAAGCAAATTAACGTCACAGCGATTACCAGATCCAGAACAAACAGTTCTTCCCTGACTATAAAGTCAGAGAGGAGGATGTACGTCTGAAGTTAGTGAGATCCGGGCTCTGAAGGTAACGCAGCTGGCAAATTCCCTTTAAAGCTGATGCAACTGTCATTGTTGTGTATATACATGCATATGCATGGACCCCGTCCAAATGGAAAGTGCATGTGTAAAAACACATTAATTCACAAACCTTGAGAAATATTAACACAGCTGCCGTTCTAAGGGTGTGCGGTTGCGCCAGCCATGCGCCACCAATTAGCAACAAGTGCAAATACCCTCGGACTCCAGTGTCATTCAAGGATGTTTGGTTGTTGAATTTCAAATAACGACATATTTGTTTATGCAATATGCGCAGACTTACTTAGAGAGTCTTGATTTGCATTTTGTCTCAGGATAGGCAGAATTTCACTGAGGACACATATATAAATGGAATCAGTCAGACGGGAACGGTTACTTTTGTAGTCTAGGGTTGATCTACAGAATTAGACACATTTTGTACGCTTGTTTATGCACTAGCAGACAAGCTAAGAGGAAATACAATAATAATAATAATAATAATAATAATAATAATAATAATAATAATGTTTTCAATAAGCTAACCCTTATAATATATGTATGGTCAAAATTTGGTTAATTAATAAGCAGTTATAGCACATAAACAATAAAAATAATAGTGAGCTGTTGTATCTGATAGAGCTGACAGGTTTAATACTGACAAAATCAAAATAAGTAAACAGAAAGATCTGAGCTTTAACACAATAGATGAAAGTGGGTAAGTAACAGGACACTGTTGCCTTTGTTTATGTGTTATAACTGCTTATTAATGTGGTGTTCATGAACTCATTTATATTCCATCAATTCCACAAACCATTAATCAAATAAATTTAAACTGTTCATAAACATTTTATAAGGAGTAGTCTTGGTGTACCAACAACAACAACAACAACAACAATAATAATAATAATAATAATAATAATAATAATAATAATGTCAGTAAGACAATCCTTATAAAGGGTTTATGTATGGTTCAAACTGTGGTTATTAATTTGGGCATTAATTAGGTCATAAACACCTTACAAATCATTATTAAGCAGTTATAGCACATAAATAATAAGAATAACAGTGAGCTGTTGTTTCTGATGAATATGAATATCTGATGAAGCTGACAGGTTTAATACTGACTGATGAAGAGGGCAAAATAAAAATAAGCAAACAGCAAGATTTGAGATAATGAGGTGTTTACGACCTAATTAACAGTTCATTAATAAACTAAATTTAAAGCGTTCATAAACAGTTTATAAGGGTAGTCTTATTGTACCAATAATAATAATAATAATAATAATAATAATAATAATAATAATAAATGTAATTAAATAGTGTGTTCAAATGTTTAAAAGTGTGTAGCTGAAAAGTCTCACAGTTTTTAAGCATAATAACAGAAACATTATCTTTGGTCTCCTGGATAACTCACTGAAATAACTGAGCTCTTCCCAAACGGAGTTCTGTTTAAAGTCCCAATCAGAAATAACAGATCCCAGGATTAGCTGGGATTAATTAAACTGTACGATTTAACAGAGTCCACTTTTCTCAATGTGGACCAGAAGTTTCAGCAATTCCTGATTGGAACTTTAATTAATCATCATTAATCTTCAAGGAAGCCTTCAGTTCTGCAAGACCAGCACAGTCTGATGTCTGAGCTCTACTCACAAGCAAACTCCACTTTAGCCTCGCGGCTGAGGATGGTTCCGAAGGTATTAGTGGCGATGCACTGGTAAGACCCGCCATGTTTAGTTGCCTCGGGGTTATTGATCAAAAGGTTGCCCTCTACCACAGTGTAGTTTAAATCCGTGTCGACGTTGAGATCTTTTCCATTGAACTTCCACCTGTGGATGAAGATCAACAGTTCTTTCAGTGCATCTCTCAATGCGATTCAAGTCATTTTGAAAAGTTGGCTACTTTTAAGTATGTCAATCTATGACATGTCATACTTTTAACCAGCTATAAACAAAGTCAGAGTGGTTTGATGTGAAACGCTCTGTTCTACAGAAACTTCAGTCAGAATGGTTCACAGTGGTGGTGATAGGAACCAGACGTCCACCTCTAAAAGCTCCCTCAAAGGAAGTTATTACATGAAATGGTTATGAATTCACTGCCTGATGTCTGAGACACTGTTTTACAATATTTATATGAAGGTTTTCTCTTAAAACATATTTTTAAGGTTCAAGGTGGTACATGCATGGCATTGAAAGGCAAAATAGCGCCCCCCCCCCAAAATCACATTTCCACTGTTTTAGCCCTTAACGGCATCACATACACTGATCAGGCATAACATTCTGACCACCTCCTTGTTTCTACGCTCATTGTCCATTTTATCAGCTCCACTTACTATATAGGTGCACTTTGTAGCATTCTACAGTTACAGACTGTAGTCCATCTGTTTCTCTGCATACTTTGTTAGCCCCCTTGGTAACACTTTCTAACATGTTATAATGTATTCATAAGGCATTATAAACATGGTTATAAATATTTATAAAAAAGAATTACACTGAATTACACTTTATAGCCATGTTTATTATACATTATGAATTGTTAATATAATGCATTATAAATAGTGTTAATAACATGTTATACTGTCAGTGCCAAAGAAGTCAGTCCCAGCTTGGAGACTGTAAAGTAAAGACAAATACCAAGCTAACGGTGGTGTACATTACCTTTCCCACATTGGGTAAAACACTGATGCAGCTCTAGTTTAAACTCTGACATTTGAAGCCTGTAATGTGCTTTACTGTGAATGTTTTAGTGTTTCAGTAAATCCTTCAGTAAATACTTCAACTTGAAGCCTCACTCTGAACACTAGAGGAGGCTTTAGTACAGTACGCTTCACTTTACTTAGAGCGGATAAATATGACTTATGAGCTCTTATAATTTGTTATGATCAGTATTTATAATGTATTATGTTAACAATTCATAATGCATAATAAGCATAGCTATAACATATAATGCATTTTAATAAATATTTATAGCTATGTTTATAATGTCTTATGAATGCATTATAACATGTAATGAATGTGTTTATAGATGCTTACAAAGGTGACATTCATAGAAAGTGTTACCGCCCCCTTTTACCCTGTTCTTCAGTGGTCTGGATCCCCACAGAGCAGGTACTGTTTGGGTGGTGGATCATTCTCAGCACTGCAGTAACACTGACGTGGTGGTGGTGTGTTAGTGTGTGTTGGTACGAGTGGATCAGACACAGCAGTGCTGCTGGATACAGTGTAATCACATTATATTATTCCGTCATAGGGAGCAGCCCTACGTGATACAAACCTCATTTCATATTTAGCTAAATGAGCTCATTCATATGTACACACAGGGAACCTAATCACCAGATCAGTGTTCATCCACTGAAAAGCATAATCAATAAGCTCCAGTGTATTTACCTGTAATGCGGCATTGGATTTCCTTTTGCTTTGCAGTTGATGAATATCTTGTTGTCTTCGTAACTCAGCGGGAACACGCTGTCGCTGGGCTCCTGGGTGAACACGGGGCCATGCTGAATAATTCTCTCTGCAAGAAAACATAACCAGCTCCACATCAGGCACGGTGGCGCAGCCAGAATTTCATTTTTGGAGGGCCTGGTTACAGGACAAGGGGGCCGGCTAGAGAGCATTATACCCCAGAGCAGAGCTTTCCTCAGGCCTGAAAATTGGGTCTGAACCCGAATACAGTCGAAGAACTGTATGTCCCGACCCAAGCCTGAAGAAATTCTGTCAGAAACTGACCAGAACCAGCCCTTCTGTTACTGAAAGTGTAGAACTAATATATTGAGAAAAAAACATTAATACATACATATATATATATATATATATATATATATATATATATATATTAGATATTAAATTTAGTCGATATATATAAGAAAACCATGTAAGTCAATAGAACCAGACACTTTTCCAAGTCATTTTGGGCCACTCTTTTGGTCCATTCTTCATAAAATGTTTACTTTGATATATGTAAAGAACATCAGGCATTTTTAAATTATGTCAAAAAAAGGACAAAAATGGAGATATGACGTTTCCTCTGACAGCAGTGATATATATACTGAAAACTATGAATAAATGGAATGAAAGTTGAGAATATTTAGACTTTCATTCCATATTCTCAAGTTTCATTCCATAAAGAATTCAAAGAATTCCAAGAATAACATATATAGATAAAAGAATGACAACTGATCTCAATGGAAAACGCATTTTCATTTCTCTAAAAAAGATGATCAATCACTTTATTTTCAAATCCGCATGTAATTTGACCAGAGGTGCCCAAACTTTTTCATAGATAAGAGGTAAATAAGTAGCACTGATCAGCTAAGTGAGTGAGCTAAGAGAAACATCATCATTCTGTGTTTACATGTTGGTGTTGAAAAACAGGCATTTTTGCTTGACAGCTGTGTAAACATTGCCATGGTGATAACATCCGTATGTATCTAAGGAGACGAGTGTGTCAGACTCTTTAAAGTAGACAAGTCATTACAATACACTTTACATGATGACCTGACATTCTGCAATATCTTCACTGGAATCAACTATCACAAATTTGGGGGGCTTCCAAGTGGGAGAGTGTAGGCCCTCACCATACCCCCCAGGCCCCTGATCAAGCAGGACTTCAGACAAAACCACAGACCAAAAAAACAAGTATAAACACGTCAGTTTCAGAATTTCATAGCCATCATTCGATTTGTTGACGCGTATAAGCTCATTAGAACACCGGCGTGTAACGAGATGCCAGAGAGGAGCAGCTTTTATTTTCCCTCTCGCATACTGTAGCTCCATATCTGCATGACGTCCTCCTTTTTGGCAGCCTCGCCACACACACATGGCACCGCAAATAGCTCTGTTGTTTTGGCTGGCTGCTGCCAAGACACCAATCCACCTCTCTAATTACCCCATGTTGTGGTAATTACTCTGACGAAATGTATCATTTCTTAAATGGATAAACAAGATCGCGTAAAGAATTCGGCCCTGCCGTTGAAGTATCAGCCTCCGAGGCACCAGACGCCACTTTGATGTTCGATATTAGGGCCCCTTGTACAGTAAGTGGGCTTTTAATCAATATTCAGCCACCTGTGAAAATGTGTAGGCGTTGCATGATGAATTCATTGGTCTGACCCGTGGCTGAGCTGCGATTAGAAACACAAGCGTATTGACGCACATTTGCAAATCCAATGTAATCCACACACAAAAGCCAGCGGTCCCGGCGCAGTACTATGTAGATTCAATGTCGCTTCTGTGTCAATTCGCCCAATGGGAAAGGAGCAATTTCCTTCTGCTCATCCCTCCGTCTACTTTCTCTCCGTATGAATCACCTGCTCTTTCTCTACGGGCAGATGAACTTCTTTTTTACAGGTCCCTAACCTTGACAAGGACAAAGCGAAGTGCTCCCTCCCGCATCATCAGGCTAATGGAAATGGCCAGGCCTGCTTGCCTGGGGTGAGGGCCTCACGTCTCCTCGCTCGGCGGGAGGCGCCAGCACTTTTTTTCTCCTTCCCTTCCTTCCCCTTTTATATGTCCTTTAAATGAAGGGAATTAATGATCCATTCAGAGCAGGGCCGCTCATCGTGGGAAACACGCTTCTCTCGCACGTGATTGGACCGCAGGGAGGAAGTCTGCAGTCACCTCTTCTTCTAAATATGCCACAGACATGGAGTTAGATGCTGCAGAAGTGGATTAAGAGAAAGCCTCTTTAGAGGAAGAACCTCGACGGGCATCATAAGCCACTCTAATGTCATACGGCGCTGTCCTTAATTAATTGGACGGTGATACACTTAAGAGGTAAAATGGGAGAGTGAGCGTGTTATCGTCAGTGACATCAGGAGCGAGGCTGTCATCTAAACACCATCATCACTAAGCAAAGAAGGCCTGAACATTGGTGCAAATATTTGCAGTTTCTTCCGCCAAAAAGTAGCTCCAGTAGTTAAGAGTTAAGCAACCATTGTTGTTACTTAGCAACTGGAAGGCCATGCAATGACAGGTAAGGTGAAAAAAGCTGTTAATAGACATAAGAAAACAAGTATAATGCTTTTCAACCAATTAGACTATGTCATTGGACCTAATTGTCATCATTGTTGCTCTGTGCTCTATAATTTGGAATAAAAGAGTCTATGAGGTCAAAGTGCAGAGTGAATGTTTTAATTGGAAGGTATTTGCATTAACACTGGATAAGCCATCTATACATAGTCCTCCCATTTCTTGACATGTAACTGGTAAAATAGCTGCTCAGCTGTTTTTCATCTAGCTGTGGGTCATTGCATCATTAGTTTATGCACACATCTGGAGTGAGTTACTCTTATAACATAAGGATGGACACAGAAGTGTCATTACCACTTCTGAAGGGAGGCTGAGTAAATCAGTTCAAGACCAAAATATTGGTTGTGTCAAAATGAAAATTTTGTTATATTTTTAAGAAGCAGGAAAGCACTGAGCATAGCAAAGGGAAAACACCTGGAAGATGAATGAAAGAAGAATGACAGAAGAATAATTTTAACCAGGTAACAGAGCAAGAGTCTGAGACCACCCTCCATGTATTTAACTACAGTCAAAATGGCAATTAATTACAATTTATTTTGGTTTTCAGGAGAAATTTCTGAGTAGATTAGGTATGACATTACCAGCTTTCATAAGGAAGGAGATCAAAAAATGATTAAAAGCTACAGAGAAAATGAGGCTCCTAACAACCACCTGGAAGACCTGGTAGACACCAAAACTGCCCCCATCAGATAAACAGCACTTAAAGCTTTCATCTCTGAGAGAGAGGAGAAAATCAAGCTGCTTCAGATCTGAAAACATCCACAGGTGTTTCTGTCCATCCTTCCACTGTGAGAAGACCACTCAGCGCTGTGGGTCTGAAAGGATGTGTAGCTGATCAAGAAGAACCTCACTGAGAAAAGGAGACGGAGACATCAAGCAAAGAAGCTGAATGGACTGACCACCCCAGAGTCCAGACCTCAACACCACTGAATGTGTTTGATTACTTCAGAAAATGATCAACCAGCTTCTAAGACTGAACTTTGGAGGTGTGTCTGCAGATTCTTTGAGGAACTGTAGACTGAACTCCACATCAGGCACAGTGGCGTGGTCAGAATTTCATTTTAGGAGGGTCTGCTTACAGTTTTAGGGGGGCAGCTAGAGAGCATTATACCCTGGAGTAGAGCTCAAATCAGACCTGAAACTTAGGATTGAACCCAAAAACAGCCTGAGAATTTTCTGTCCCTGACCTTTCAGTGAGTTTCCTGTAAAGAACGGAAAATGTAATAAAGGAAAGAGTGGACAAACTAAATAATGAAAAATATGATTTTATGCGTAGCTGTTGAAGATTCTGTGTACCATACACTCGGTTCTTCAAGGGTTCTTTAGTAAAGAAAATAGTTCTATATAGAACCATGACCACTAAAAGAACCCTTTGCATGAATAAAGGGTTCTTTGCACTGTGAAAGTGTTCTTCATATTGATGAAGAATGGTTCTATATAATAAATAATAATAATAAATAATAATAAAATAAATAAAATACATAAAAATAATAATAAAATAAATAAAAATAAAAATAATAATAATAAATAACAATAAAAAGGGTTCTGCTATTGTTATGATGTCAAGCTTGTAACAACAGAAGAACCTTGTTTGATGCTGCATAGAACCCTTTTCAAAAAGGTGTAGACTTTAAAAAAAAAAGATGGTTCTTCAAGGGTTCTTTAGTAAAAAAAAAGGTTCCATATACAACCATTAACACTAAAAGAACCCTTTGCGTGAATAAAGGGTTCTCTGCAGTGTGAAAGTGTTCTTCAGATTGATGAAGAATGGTTCTATACAGCACCATAAAGGGTTCTGCTATTGTTATGATGTCAAGCTTGTAACAATAAAAGAACCTTGTTTGATGCTGTATAGAACCCTTTTCAAAAAGGTGTAGACTAAAAAAGATGGTTCTTCAAGGGTTCTTTAGTAAAAAAAAAGGTTCCATATACAACCATTAACACTAAAAGAACCCTTTGCGTGAATAAAGGGTTCTCTGCATTGTGAAAGTGTTCTTCAGATTGATGAAGAATGGTTCTATACAGCACCAAAAAGGGTTCTGCTATTGTTATGATGTCAAGCTTGTAACAATAGAGGAACCCTGTTTCATGCTGTACAGAACCCTTTTCAAAAAGGTGTAGACTTAAAAAAAACGGTACTTCAAGGGTTCTTTAGTAAAGAAAATGGTACCATATACAACCATTAACACTAAAAGAACCCTTTGCATTGTGAAATGGTCTTCAGATTGATGGAGAATATGCTGTATTGTATATGGTTCTGTTTAGCACGTTTTGGAAAAGGGTTCTATATAGCACCAAAAGGGTTTTACTATAGTTACGATGTCAAACTACATAGAACCATTTTTTTTTACTAAAGAACCAGTAACGTACATAAGGTGCCTGTAGA